TGATAGTAATGATACTGACACAATAGCAAGTGGAGATGCAGTTTATAATGGTGAAACAGATACAAATAGCTTTCTACCACTACCTAAAAATGACCATCTAGAAAGTGATGCTATAAAAAGTAGTCTCAATGTTACCAAAATAGACTGGCCAACAATTGAAGACCAACCATTAAATGAGTATACAACACCATTTCTTGCAACTCTTGCTTTTCCAACACTTTTTCCTGATGGTAATGGTGATCCAACAAATCCGTGTTTGCAAAGAGACATTCCTTTTGCAAATCGCATTCAGCATTTAATTAAATATTCTGAGAAAATCAATGATAAATGGATATATAGGTTTGCTGGTCACCCCAGGTTCTCGTATTGGGCTCTTAATATGATACAAAGAAAACGAGCTCTTCAACAAAATGCCATATTTTTAAAACAAAATCCTGATGAATCGCATCTTACAATAGATGAGTTACGTGAAATGGCTTGTAGTGACAAATCATCTTCTTTCATGTCTAAACTTTCTAGATATGTAGCAAATATCACTGGGAGCTCAGCATATTGGTATAAAATAAGAGAAGATTTAAAAGCAATCATTTTAGCAAAAGGTGCCCCAACAATTTTTTTTACATTTTCTTCTGCGGATCTTCATTGGCCTGAGTTACATTCCCTTTTTTCTTCAAATGTCGATAGCTTGAGTGTGGAAGATAGGCGAAAAAATGTTATTGACAATCCTCACCTAGTTGATTGTTTTTTTACCAAACGGTTTGAATCATTTCTAAAGCACTGGCTATATGATACAATGAATGCTGAGTGGCATTGGTACCGATATGAATTTCAAGCTCGAGGTAGTATCCATTGCCACGGCACTGCAAAATTAAAATCTGATCCAGGTCTTTGTAGACTCACAGAAAGAGCTCTTAAAGGTTTCATAGCTGAGAAACAGAAAAAATGTCCAGATACATGTAACATTCCTGTTTCAGTAGAAATTGATGAAGGACAAAAAGCTGCAAAGGTTATTTGCAATTATGTAGACACACTAATCAATACGTGGAATCCATTTCCACCTGAGTCTGAACTTTGGACAAAACTACTGGTTCATCCTTGTGCAAAAAAACACAAAAATATTCCAGACTCTGAACGGAATAATGATTATTCAGATCTAGTAAACACTGTTCAACGCCATACCCATTGTAGCACAAAATATTGTCTAAGACATGAGCCAAACAAAGAGGGGCTTTATTGTAGATTCAAATACCCATTTGATTGTTGTAGTGAAACTAGACTTGAATTTCAACAAATGCATACAAAGGATAAAAGTGTACAGTACAAAGCAAATATAGTTACTAGAAGAAATGATCCTAGATTAAATAACCATCAGAAAATTCAACTTGAGGGATGGAGAGCAAATTGTGATATCCAAGTAATACTTGATTATCATGCATGCATAGAATATTTGTGTAAATATGCTGCAAAAGGTGAACCCAGGTCCAACATGTTGAAAAACACATTCAACTCAGTAGTGCATAATCTAAATTCATGTAGAGATCCCTTGAAGGCAATGAAAAAAATTATGATAATGACACTAGGAGAAAGAGATTTTAGTGCACAGGAGACGATGCACCTACTACTTTCATTAAAATTATACAGTTCATCATTTGAAGTTTTACCAGTGAACTTAAATGGATCTCGTTTTGTTAAGACAAATCTGAAACAAACGGATAGTCTGTGTACAAATGATTCTTTATTGGATAAATATGCAAAACGTTCAATTTTTCAGGATGAATTTCCACATGTAATGAAAATGAGTTTTGTTGAATTTGTCACAATGTACAAGACTGTAAAAAATAAGCTTATAAAACGGTCACCAAATGTGATTCCACGTTTCTTCCCTTGTTACTCTTCAAATCCAAAAGGGATCAATTATCCACTATATTGTAAATACCAGCTTTTGAAGTATAAACCTTGGAAATGCTCGCAAAATGATGCATGGGATAACCAAGAACATTCAGACACTACTTTTGTAAATTCTTGGCTCAACTTTTTAAATTCTCCATTTGCAAACCAGCATGTGCCAGATTGGGAAAAGCAATTACAGAATGTGTTAGATAATGTTGTGCAACAAAGCAATGAATTATCTGAAAAAAATAAAAGCCCTGATCAAGAAGAATGGATGATTCTTTCTAATTATCATAAGCTTAATGAAAATCCCCATACCAACAATAATACACCATGTGATTGGCATTTAGATTCTGCAAAGTACACAACCCAGCAGATTGATGAAATGCCAAACTGGGTCAAAGTGAAAAAGAGTGACTATACTGTTCCTTCAAGTGACAACAAAGTTGATACTAGTACATTTACTGAAATGCAACAGCAGGCATATAAGATTATTGTAAATCATTATAACAATGTCGCACCTAAAGAACCACTCTGGCTTGTCATTATTGGTGAAGGGGGGACAGGAAAAAGTTTCCTTATTAATGCTGTAAGAAACTATTTAAAGGAGAAGTGTATTGTGACTGCTACAACTGGCAAGGCATCATTTAACATAAATGGCATAACCATTCACTCATTTTTGAAACTTCCAGTTGGTAAAATGTCCCAAAAAGATTTGTCTGGCCAAAGCCTAGATAATTTGCAAAAGAATTTGTTGTCAGTTGACTATATTGTAATTGATGAATACTCTATGCTTGGTCAAACTACAATGGGATGGATTGATAAACGTTGTAGGCAGGCTACTGGATTAAAAGATAAGTTGTTTGGTGGGAAATCCATAATTTTAATTGGAGACCCCGCCCAACTTCCTCCCGTTGGTGACAAGCCGTTGTATCATAGTAAACCATCTAATCCGATTGCAGAACAAGGTTCTCTAGCATATAAAATGTTTAACAATGTAGTTATACTAGATGTTAATCAAAGGATAAGGGGTAGTCAACATGATCAAACATTATTTAAAGGCATCTTGTCACGACTGCGAATTGGAGAATTAAGTTGTAATGACTGGAAACTGCTCCTTGCTAGACAGCCAACAGTTTTATCTAACCTAAATGACTTTATTGATGCTACTAGACTATATTACAGCAATGATGAAGTTGCAAAATTTAATTATGATCACTTAATGCAGTTAGAAACTCCTATTGCAGAAATTTGTGCTAGACACTCTGGTAGCAATGCGAAAAGTGTGAGTGCTCAGGAAATGTTTGGTTTGCAACCTACTATTTTAATTTGTAAAGGTGCTAAAGTTATGTTAACAATGAATTTATGGGCTTCAGTAGGCCTCTGCAATGGGGCATCAGGAACTATTGTTGATATTATTTATGCAAAAGATCATCATCCACCAGACTTACCTATTGCTGTTTTGGTGAAGTTTGATGAATACCGTGGTCCAAACTTTTGTAGCATTCCTTTTTGTGTTCCCATTCCTCCAGTAACTGCATCCGTAAACATAGATAACAAAACTCTTGAAAGACAGCAATTACCATTAACACTTGCTTGGGCATTGACCATTCATAAGAGTCAAGGTATGACATTGGAGAAAGCATGGGTTGATATCGGTAAAAAAGAATGCACGTTGGGAATAACATATGTGGCATTGAGTCGTGCACGCAATTTGACATCTTTGGTAATCGAACCAATGACTTATGACAGACTTAGCAGTATAAAGAAAATGCAATCCCTTTCGTACCGATTGCAAGAGGAAAAGCGACTACAAGTTATTGCCAATTTAACACTCTAATATTGTTTTTAATAGGTTGGTAATTGTTTAGTGATTGTATTCTAATAGTTTCCCTTGTTTCTTATAGTATTCAAACAATTAACATGGATAACATGGATAAATTTAATGGTATGTATGAATGTAAATGATACTGTACGTTGTGATATTTATGCTTTCATTTCAATATAAGGATTTCAGCCATCTATAATTAATCGTTAGCTATTGCTATATTTTTCGGTATATGTGACCCTTTTTTTGTTTAACCTTCAAAAGATAATCAATGGCTGACAGACACAGAAACTCCGGCCTCAAATCCTAAAGGTAAGAGTAAGACCAAAACACCCATTATATTCATGAGTATATCACCATATCTTTTTCAGAAATTCAGTTTAAAGAGCATTAATTTTTATTGTTTTAGATGAAGAAAAGCCTACCACTGTTACGAAGAATGTGTCTGACTCTGGAGGTAAGAATTAATGTTTCTCAATGTGTGATTCAATGACAGAGACATCCGAACGAACGAAGGTCTAATTATAATTCTTCAGGTACAGGTGTATGTACCACAGAATACCACAATACCACAGAATGCCAGTTTTTATATAATTAGGAGGAAACATGCTATATACTTTATTTTTGTGAATATATATTAGTTTTAGTCTTAATGAACATATATAACAACAAAAAATGGATATTTTCATAAAAATTCTTAAAAATAATCTGGATTAACAAGAAATAAAATTCTATGTTTTTGATACTTTTTTCTGCTTAATGCCCGTAAAATCTGAACGTTTGGAAATAAGTTTGCAAACCAGCATAATTTATGTTGATCAATACTGTATGTCCTAAATTAACCCTTAACCGATTAGAATTACTATAATCAATTTTACTATCGGAACACTGAATTTTTGAAAATTACTGATAAAAAACTGGTATTCTGTCGTGTAAATTTTAGTATATACCTTTCACTAAAGTTAGCAATATTTTTTTACATCCACCAATATTAGAACACAACATGACACATCAAATCCTGGTACAATTTGATAAACCGTTCCTTACTTATTGTGTGCACTGGTATTCTGTGGTACATTAGGCTTTTTTCCACAGAATGTTCAATTAAAAAAAAAAATTCTACCAAATCTAGCCCCGAAAGCCCCCAGGAAGAAAAAATACAGTGATAAACTATACTAAAAAATATTAACAGGCCATATTATATGTATTTGAAAAAAGATATGGAACATGTAAATTTTTGCGGTATTCTGTGGTACATACACCTGTAGTTCGAATTTGTTTAACCAGTGTGTTTAACCAATTCACCGACAACAACAACCAGGTGGTGCCTACTTTGATACTTTAGTGTCCTTGCCAAAAGATTTACTCGTTGGTAGAACAGTACTGCCAGTTATAACAGTGAATATAAATCCATAGTGAGTATTTGTAAATATTTTTAATTTTAGATAAACCCATGATAGCCTATCTTCACAATTTGTCCCCAATAAAAAAGAGTCAAAGGGACAACCTCTACTTTGACATGACATTACAAACAGAAGACACAACGTACAGAAGTGTATGCTTCTCTCCAGAAAAGCATACACAATTTTTAACAAGATATGAATCCTCGTCGCCCGTTAAACTTTCGAAGTTCCAGCTGAAGAGGAATACAAGAACAAATGAAGACGAAGTCCATATCAACAAAAGATCAAAGGTGGACGACACAGAGGAATCCGATGTGTCTTTCGACATAAAAGTTTTGCGGCCAACAGAGAAATGTAAACCTGGCATCACTACTGTGTGTGATGTATTGCAAGAAGATACCAATTCGGTTGTGAATGTTTGTGGTCGTATTACCCTGCAAGGTCCAATACAAACCATTATGTCCAAGGGCAAGGCACTACGGAAACAAGAGGCAGTATTGACGGATAATTCAGCAACTATCCGCCTTGTGCTGTGGGAAAATGATATATCCAAAGTTTCGTCAGAATCCACATATGATATATCGAAAGTGGTGCTTAAGGAATACGAGAAGGCAAAGTATCTTAAATAAGTCATCTACCATCAAGATATCGCAAAAGTCAATAAGCAGGCTAGATACCCCATCAACAGAAGTGTTATCGAACACACAATGTGTTACGTTCCCGGCGAACGGAGTTTTATCTTTGCAACGATTTTCATCTTGCCTAAGATGTCAATCAAAATTGGTACCAATTTAAATGCCTCCAAAAAAACTGTAAAGTGCACCGAATGTGGTCTGGGACAACTTCAAGCTAGCTGTCAACAGCGTTTGTTGGCAAATGTTTTATTTCAGAAGGGAGCAAGTTCAAACAGTTTGCTGCTGTTTGATGACAAACTAAAACAATTATTCAAAATCTACCAAGAGCAGACTAATAACACGCAAACTTTTGAAAGTCTAGATGATGATGATATGATGGAATTTTTGTTAACAGTGGCTGCGAAAGTGTTCTATAATGGAAAAAAGAATGTGGTTGCTATTCAGAAAATTTAACATTGAAATTGAACTTGTAGTCGCATATATATATATATTTTGTATACTTTACGTTATATGCATATTCTATTGCCAGTGCTGGGACAGTGGACACTTAATTCCTATCGCACTTCTATTTAAAGTTTATTACTGTTTTGTTGCCTGTTAAGGTGTTTTGTTGGGTTAAATAGATAAAAATGAAAGACTGTACATGTGTCTCTAATATTTTTTGTTTGTCCACACTTAGCTTTGATAGTTTGTAGAGTGGCCCTGTCTGGGCCAACATTTTATATTGGGAAGTGGGATAGGAGTGCGCAACCAAAAGAAACAAATTGTCACCTGTCTTGCAATTATTTAGAAGCATCCTAACAATTACCTCACCCACCCACTAACGGTCCTTGACTTGCTAGAGAATTTTCAGTCCATATATTTTTCTAACGTAATCTATTTCATAGCTAAAATGGCTCCCGCAGCATTCCCTACCTTGCAGGTAACCTAGTATTTTAATATTATGTTCTACTTCTTCATATATGTATATATATATATATATATATATATATAATGTTGTGTTATTGTTCACTCCGTAATATGATAAGTAGAAAATGTTCTCGAGTGTGTATTTCATAATTTCCATACCCAGCGCAAGCAGAAAGATAAAGTCTGCCGCGGCTGGGTCTTGAACCCGCGACCTTCGAATAAAATATAAAAGCTTTAATCGTATTTTGAGTTAATGGATGGAAAATTTAATTTGTTGGATTTTTAATTACTGTACAAAATTTCAGACAATTTGTTTTAGTAAACCCTACAAAATCAGCATGCTTAATTAATGCCTTTACCTAATTCGGCATATTGCTGACATATGCAAATTGGGCAAATGCATTAATTAAGCATGTTACAATGACATTTTTATGTCAGATTTTTGTGACATTTATAATAAATTAATCATCCCAAATACCATAGCAACACCTTTATAAATATTATACCAGTTCTTTGTTAACCGCGAATATATTGTATACAGTAGTTCCTCGCGGTCGACTTGTCAAAAGCGATTAATGTAATTAACTACAGTGAAACACGCAATTTGATTGGTCAATAGCCGTGACGGCAGGACACGGGCTATATCCTGCACGAGGACTTAAAATTCCTTCGCGGGTAGTTATTTTATAAAACAATTACCAAATGGTTTTCCAAGCAGGATCGATAGCGTGATCCATGCACTTGAGATATTGCTCTATTTTTGGAAAGCGTAAAAATACACTCCCCTGCGGCTCGAGTATTTTTACGCTTTCCGAAAGTCTCGCAACATCGATATATCCCTCGTGCGCGCGTGGATCACGCAATCTGCACGAAAAACCATTCAGCATTCCTTTATTGCAATTTGCTCGAGCAATTGGCAAATCAACATTGCAATGTTTTGTCGCAATATTGTCACTGAAAAAGAACATCTGGTTTAATTGACTGTAAAAGTAAATGCAGGATATCGCTTTATATATTTATATATGTGTATTTTTAGGCTTTTCTAAAATCTCGCAACATATATCCCGCGTGCATGGATGACGCTATCCTCCACGGAAAACAATTTGGTACATGACCTTGATCGATCAAATTAATCCGCACTTTCATTAATTTTCTTACAGGACTAAAATATTCACTGATGCATGTGTATTTATTTTTGTGGTTCCTAAGGTTACACATGCAAAATATTTTAAACTTCAATCAGTCAATTGCAATACATCATTTAATTAATCAATCAATAATTAATTAATGCATGATTTATTCAATCAATCAATGCATCTTTAAATCAATCAATTCATCATACTCAATCAACCAATACTAACATCATTCAACTAATCAATCAATACATCATTTACTCAACTAATTAATACATCATTTACTCATTCAATCAATACATCATTCAATCCAAAATCAATCAAAATCTATAATTCAATCATCTATCAATCAGGAAATTCCTCAGTACTCAATATTCGTATCCAGGCTGCGAACAGGCAGGTCGATGGAAGTATAAGCCAATTGTAAGTCTTGATCGTCGTAGTTTTTCACATATTCAACAAACTTTTCCTGCCAAGCTTTCGCTTTTTTAATTTCGATTTCATTCGGGTGCTTTTTGATGGCAAATGTAACGAAGAGTAGACTTGCGTCTATGTATTTTTTTCTATCGTATCCGCCCAATACTTGACTCGGGTAAACTGGATCACCGTATGAACTTAAACAAGAGAGATGTAGCTCTGTAATGTCATCAGTTAGGTATGGATTGCTATAGAAAAGTAAAAGAAATTATTTCCGAGTCAAACTGTAGTCCCCGAACCGACGGTTACGCCTGCGGGGCGAAGGCACTAATTCCGCTCAGCTTTACCCCGCGGAGGAGTAATTTCATATAATTTCAGTGTGTCTTTATTGATTACCCTTTTTTATAATATTAAAATGTTTAGATAAAAAATAAGACAAAGTTACTTGAATTTATTTCAAATTCAAAGTTTTTCGATAAAGGCAGTTTAGTTTTATAAAGAACATGTACTAAACGTTTTGCGAAGCCCTTTGTGGTTGAATTTTAGCTTAATTAAATTAAATTGAAGCTTATATTACGTAACGTACATGCCTAACATCAGGGTTTATTTTAAGAAAAGTTTAGAACTGCACATATTAGAGATGTTACGAAGCATCACGTGTTTGACTGGGGGGGGGGATCAAAGGATGTTTGGCTGGGTGTCAAAGGATTTTTATCTACAGTGTATTTAACGCTGTAAATTTATAGTTAACGTTGCAAATGATGATAGACTCTTAATTTGTATATAGGTAGCAGAATAAAGGTGTGGTTGGGTGGGGCCAGATAAACTCGATTCCTGGTGAGGAAGCTACAGGTAGGGGAATTTGAATTTAGGGGCTCGTAAGTTCTGGCAAAGATTTATTTCACCCAACCACCCACAAAAACTGTTTCAAAACATGTAACTGGGAATCATAAATACTCAATATATAATAACCTTAGACAGGAAAGAATATTACTAGGTTCTCCCACTCTATTAATCTCTTTTGGATAGCTTCACTCGCCCCAATTTTACCTCCTGTTCCATTACCCCAGCACATATGCGATTTGTGAGGAAAATATGAGGGTCTGGTGGCCCTCTCCGGCTCTCCCAGAAAACATTTAGACTTTTGATACTCAATGACAGCATTTCTGGCATCTGGAGCATCCACAACGAAAACAAGCAAATGAGAAGAGTATTGTTTTGAGGTTATATGTTTGTTAATTTGGTGACTGCACAGTTGAGTTTTAAGAACTGCACAAATGGGTTTAGAACTGCACATTTTGTGTAGAACTGCACGTTAAAATAAACTCTTTCTAACATTATGTATACGTAGGCTATGTTTGGGAAATTGATAATTTTGTAATTAAAAGTTATATTTTTAGGGGACTCTTCATTTGTAAAAATATTCTTAAACCGTGATAACCACTTTAATTTAAATACTTCGTGTTTGGAAAATACAATGGTTTTGTCAGCAAGGCAAGGGTTTCTGCATGCATGTATTTTCTAGTAATATGCAAATGGTCGATCTATTCGACTTGGTCTGGAAACATAACAGAAGTCATTGTGTTAGTATGTTTTTGTCTGAATTTATGTTAATTCATGTGCACGCTGACGGTGATTGAGCTCATTGCATATTCGTATAGCGATGTAATCGTCCCGAAGGGATAGCTGATCGATGAAACGTGCAATTTAATGAAGTCGAGACAAAAGATTTGTGCACGGTTTGATGCTGAAAGAAAGATTTTGAAGCTTTGAAGTTGGCTGGCTTCCGGAACATCATATCTTGATTCTTCAAGACCACGACTTGACTGGAAACACTAACTTACCAAGAGTATGTGCACGGGGCACACTCTGGGTGCAAAATTGGGTTAACACGCGTTTAGCCATTCTACTTACTTTGTGCATGCTTGAAAATGGTCACCCCAAGCAGCAACTTGGTAATTATAAGCCGCATCAGATGGGGAGCATTGTTCATTAGTCACCACTGAGATACATTTGTTTAATTTCGTTTCATTATTTTGCCAATATTGAAGCGGACTCACCACCATACAGTTATTGTTAGATGAAGATTTAATGCAAAAATCTGCAAGAGTAGTTATGTTCTCTGAACCAGTATTCGACTTCACAGACATGTTCATCAAGTGAGCTTGGACTTTCAAAACCTAAAATAGAAAGCATTAACCTACAGGTAGGAATCAGTGGATCAACACCACTTGATACACTTAAATGTATTTAAATTTGCGCGATATTTAATAATTACTGAATGAGGTTGAGCATGATATGAATTACAAAGCCCTTTTGACTTGCTGATTCTTCATATCTGGCGAAAACCAAATTCAATAATTGTGTTATAATTAAAGGATGGAAAAGACATCCACACTTGTGGGACCGGTTCAATTTGTCGAAATAATGACCAGTTATTTTTTCCAAATCTTTCCATTTTCCTTTATAAGTATCTTAAGATGTTTT